ATGATGGAATTCACGATCCTGCGAGGACGAAGTTGGGCAAGAAGTTGGATTGCAACCCTGGACTTTGAGAGAGCTAACTTTGACCTCTTCAGGGAGCTCCTTGGAGGAATCCCCTGGGCCAGAGTCCTAGAAGGAAAGGGGATCCAGGAGAGTTGGCTACTATTCAAGCACCACTTCCTCCAAGCTCAGGATTGGTGCATTCCTACAAGAAAGAAGTCGAGCAAGGCGGGCAGCAGACCTGCATGGATGGGCAAGGAGCTATTGAGTAAACTTAATGAGAAAAAGAGCACGTACGTAATGTGGAAGAAGGGCCAGGCCGCATGGGAAGAATATAGGAACATTGTCAGAGAATGCAGGGATGCAACGAGGAAGGCCAAGGCCCATCTGGAATTAGAGTTAGTGAGAGATATCAGGGGCAACAGGAAGGGCTTCTACAAATACAACAGCAGCAAGAGGAAGGCTAGGGAAAATGTTAGTCCCCTGCTGAATGGGGAGGGTGCCTTGGTGGCGCAGGATGCAGAGAAGGCAGAGGTACTAAATGCCTTCTTTGCTTCAGTCTTTACTGCTAAGGCCACTCCCCATGTACTGAGCCCAGAGACAAGAGAGAGAACTAAGAGAGAGGAGGACTTTCTGCTGGTCGAGGAGGACTGGGTTAGGGATTATTTAGGCAAACTGGACACCCATAAATCTATGGGCCCAGATGGGATACACTCAAGAATGCTGAGGGAATTGGCAGGGGTCATTGCTCAGCTGCTCTCCATCATCTTCAAGAGGTCATGGAGGGCGGGGGATGTGCTGGAGGACTGGAAGAAAGCCAACGTCACTCCAGTCTTCCAAAAGGGCAAGAGGGAGGACATGGGAAACTACAGGCCGGTCAGCCTCACCTCTGTCCCTGGAAAGGTGAGGGAGCAGCTCATCCTAGAGACCATCTCTAGGCATGTCAAGGAAAAGAAGGTGATCAGGAGTAGTCAGCATGGATTCACCAAGGGGAAGTCATGTCTGAAGAACCTGATAGCCTTCTACGATGAGGTGACCGGCTGGATGGACAATGGGAGAGCCGTGGCTGTTGTCTACCTTGACTTTAGCAAAGTTTTCGACACTGTCTCCCATAACATCCTCACATCCTCATAGGACAGCTTAGGAAGTGTGGACTGGATGAGTGGACAGTGAGGTGGATTGAGGACGGGCTGGATGGCAGAGCCCAGAGGGTGATGATAAATGGGGCCGAGTCTAGTTGGAGGCCTGTGGCCAGCGGTGTCCCGCAAGGGTCAGTACTGGGACAGTGCTCTTCAACTTGTTCATCAATGACTTGGACGAGGGCACAGAGGGCACCCTCAACAAGTTTGCAGATGACACAAAGCTGGGAGAAGTGGCCGACACTCCTGAGGGCTGTGCTGCCATTCAGAGAGCCCTAGACAGGATGGAGACTTAGGCAGAGAGGAACCTCATGAGGTTCAACAAGGACAAGTGCAGGGTCCTGCACC